TACAAATTTATAATTTATATTGAGATTAACCCAATAATAATTAACATAGTGTTTTTTGTTTTTTTTTTTTTTTGGAGGGGGTTGGTAAGGAGAAGCGTTATATCGGGTTGGAATCTCTCACAGATCCTTGTAACCCAGGTTAGCGGGCTAAGCATTTTGGAAGTGGGAGGGGGGTAAGGGAATCCCCATCTCAAAGTGTAATGCCTCATATTTTTATACGTATTTTAATTTAAATTATTATTTACGAAACATTTAAATAATTTGAAATGAAGTATTTATGGTATTTTATTAATTTAAAAAGAATCATCTTAATTAAAAGTCCATTTTTATTTATTTAATTGTTTTGGAAATATTTTATTTTATTATTTAGAAACTTTGGGGCATATTATTTTATAAAAAGAAATTTAAAGTCAATGGCATTTAAAGAAAGTCAAAGGACTAGTTTGAATAGGAGAAGGGATCATTAAGGGTAGAAAGGGAATTTAAATTTAGAAGGATTTTAGAGAGGAGGTATAAATACCCATCTTATGAGCAAGTTAGATATTGCCCAAGGTGGAGAATACCCAAAGGTAAACTCTCTCTCTTTCTCTCCTCTTATTTTCTCTCTCCTTCAATTTTCCCTCTCCCCTTTTTAATTTACCCACATCACCACACACACCACGGTGGCCGACTGCCACCATCACCACCACAGCCGGCCGCCGCAAGCATAGGGCCGGCAGCAGCAGCCGCGGGGAGGTGGCACCGGCCACTCTCCTCTCCCCCTTGTTGTGCGTGTGTTTTCAAATTCAAAAAAAAAAAAAAAAAAAAAAAAAAAAAACTCTTCTTTTGTTTTAAAATTATTCTAGCCTTGAATCAATTATTATTTTTGGATTGTGTGATGATTTTTATGTTGTTTGATTATAATTAGTATATATATAAATTTCAGATTAGTTTTTGAATTAAAAAGCCCCAAATTGAAAACCCTAGGTTTCTAAATTAATGTATGTTGATGGAAATTGATTGTAGGTGATTGAAACTATTAAATTAGATGTTTTTAAACATAATTATAGAAATTTATATGTTTTTATAAAGCTCAAATTTTTATATAAAGGTTGAATTATGTTTCTTGAAAGGATTTTTAATTACCCATTTATTAGGAATAAAAGTAAGGGTTTTAAATTAATTTTCAGCTTCTTTCAGAGGGTTTATGAGTGATTTAAAGAGTGTATATATTGCTGGAAATTTTATATTGAATAGGTATTAATGTCTCTTTATAATTTTGGGTTGTAGGAGGTTTCCAAGTGAGTGATTTTGTGTAGTCGTGGCGATTTTGAGATCATATTCAAGGTACGTTCGTGTACTTGGTAATTATTTAAGTGTATAAAAGCATGCAAGACTTTGTTTAATTAATTCCATGGTAGTATCATGATAGGTATTGGTTAGAATTGTTGATTGGGTTGATGTTGGTGATTGATTTGTGAAGTATGAATTATTTGTGGTGAATTGATGATTGGAATTAATTATATTGGCATGTTGAGTATGAACTACACTTTTATTATTGACATGATTGCGAACATGTTTAATTAAACTAAATGTTTAATTTGGTTTGGAATATAAAAAGGAAATTTTATTGTAGTTCATAAAATTTTTATTGATGCTTTAAGCATGAGGATTGAGTTATTAAGTGTCTTAGTACACAAGGATAAATTATATTGCGGTGCCTATGTGCACTTAAGCTGTTCTAAATACCGAGGGATAGGGATTGCGGTGCCTATGTGCACTTAAGCTGTTCTAAATACCGAGGGATAGGATTTGCGGTGCTTTATGCACTTAAGGTATTATTTAGCAACGAGGTAGTTTAAAAAGGATTCAACATTAAATTATGTGGTCACTAATTATTCATAATTAAATTGGTATGTTTGGTTACTTGAGTGATTTATTATGATTGATTGTGTTATAGTTTAAGAGTCGTTGCTAAGTCTAAAAATATGTAAACAACGTAAAGTGAAAGAGATTACGCATCAAAACTCTTGGAATGTATATACCTCGAGTATAGACATATGGGGGGAGTTATGAGGTTTTATATTTAACCATGATTTTTACTGGAAGTACAGGACGCTATATTTTCCTTTTTATTAATAATATGCGCAGGACGTCCAGTTACTTCATATGGCATTTGCCTACCTGGTTAGCTCCCGCTGTAGTTTACCTCAATTTATTTGGGGCAGGGATTTGGTGGAAAACTCGTTCGATGCGTAATCAAATTAAATAAGTAATTTATGTATCCATTTCTTTGTTGGTTGTGTTGTGTGCTTGAAAACAGGTGCAACAAGCTAAGTTGTGTGTTGATAGGATTAAAGCATGTTAGTGTGTACTATTTACGCTTATGTACTCAGCATTGTTGATTGTGTGTTGTATGTTTGTTTGGCCTTGTCTTTATTTTGGCCCTACGACGAACCATTTCTAATGACGAGTAGTGGGGACAAAGTAAATAGGAGTTTTTCAGATGATGAAGCATATTCATGATGGGGATGAGTGAATAGCGAATCATATGTAGTTTTTATAAGAATATGATGAGGTTTGTTGCTTTAATTATTATATATTTTGCTTGTGAGGCTAACGCAAAGGTTTTCAAATGTTTTATCTCGGCTTTATTAAGGGCCTAAAATGGTTCCAAGTTGTAGGTTGACTTTGTTTGACTTTGGTTGACTTTACTTTCATTTGGTTTGACTTTTAAATTGACTTGTTTTGAATGGTTTTAAAGAGGGTCTTCCGCTGTGTGTCTTTGATATTTGTTTTAACCGTTTTCACGGTGGTGGTAATGTTTTAGAATTTCCTATTTTGTATTTTAAAAGAGCAAAACAGGTATTTTCAAGGAAAGGAATTTCTAGGGTATTACACAAAGTGTCTCTAGTGGGGTTTGTTCCCACAATCTCTTGGTAGTGAGATGCAAATTTCCCACTAGACCAACAAGCTTTGCTTGGTAAAAATAATTAGCATAGTGACATACAGTATATTCTTACATATTACGAAGTATAAAAGTACGAGAAAAGTGTTAAAGTCAATAATGCAGTTATGATGAAAGTACGAAACAAAGAAAGTAAGTAATTCCTTTATTTCTAAATACATGAAACATGTATTCATAATTATTGGTGTGAAAATTTTCAAGAGTGATCAAAGCATTATTCGTAATTACTACGCCTAAAACAAAAGCACTCTAATTTTTCAATATGAGATTAAAAAGAAAAAGCTTTAATCTCCTCACTATTGTCTTTGAAAAACTTTTATATAAGACGATACATAGGGCAATAATAGGATGAAATTGGGACATGTGGGAAGGAGATTTTGCCTTCGGAATGAGATCAATAACATTGGTCATGCTTAGGGGTTTTTTAAGTCCCTCGGGAGATCATTAAAGCAATGTCACAACTCGTGCACACGAATCACCTGCAAAAACAATGAATATTCAATCACCGAAATATTCACTTCTGACAATTAAGTTAGACGTCGGAAATGTAAATGTAGAGAGAGAAAGTAGCTAGAGAAAAGTTAGAGTTAGCGTCTGAGCATTTTGCCTTAAATTATATGATGAATGTAATTGTCTTGTGAGTAAATGATGGGGGTATTTATACTCTTCTAAGATGGTGTGCTCCTAGGGTATAATAGCTAGTGTACTCTGATTGGCTTCCCAATATGCGAGTGACACGTGTCAGGGATACGTCGTTTTTTAGGTTATCTTGCTTTCATGGGCTTTTGAGCCTTTCATCATTCCTACAATATTTGGGCGGCATGTGTCATGTTCTTACCTTTGCCGCCCATCATTCAAGCCTGCGCCCTCTCTTACTCCCCCTTCAAACCCCAACCCATTCCACAAAGAAACCCTTAACCTCATCAATTTTAATAAGAAAAATGGTAATTTCTTAAACGCTTCCATAAATAAACCTCTAAATGTGAAGAAGCCGCCATCACCACACATGCACCAAGCAAAAGATGTTGGTGGTTTAAAGAGGTGGGGCGGGCTAGTTGATAGGGAAGGAAGGGAGAGGATGTGGGGCTGGCTGGTTGACAAGGATGTGGGGTCATGGAAGGGAGAGGTCGAAGAAATTAAAAAAGGGAGAGTTTTTATTTTTTACTTAATTTTAATTATAATTATCAGAATATACAAAAACTTAATTTTTAAAATAAAAAATAAAAAAATTAACCAATAAGATAATGACACATGGATTGACAACCGGTTACAATGGGATGCTAGGTTTACTACGAGGAAATGGGTACCAAATGTTGGATTATTCAGAGATAATCGAAAGGTAGGATCATTCTAAGGAAAAATTGATAGGTTTAATCCCAACTTTCGACGATCCGCTCAAAATAATCCCAACTATCATTATTCTCAATATAATCCTAACTTTGACAAAATTTGCTCAAATTGGTATAATGATTAGCATAATGATATATGGACTTATGGAGTCACTACAACAAATTGACCTTTGTGCCACGAGTAAAGTCGTGGCATAAGTTTGAAATTGCCGTGGATATATAATTTAGCCTCGGGAATTTTGAAATGTACTCCCATGGCACAAGAGGTCGTGGCTAGGAATTTGCCACGGAAAAATAGATGTCGTGGAAAATTTAATTTTTATGCCACGGATATACACGTGGCAAACAAATTCATTTGCCACAAATATTAACGTGGCTAACAATTGTTTGCCACAAATTCTACCATGGCTAATAAACATTGCCACAAATATTACTGTGGCTAATAAGTTTGTTTGCCACAAATAATACCGTGGCTAAAACTCTATTGTCACACATATTACCGTGGCTAATAACACCAGTAGAAAAAATTTATTAGGCACCAGTTCAAAATCGGTGCTCTTTTTCAATAAAGGCAACAGTTCAAAGGCAAAATCGGTGCCTGAAGTGAAGTAAAGGGTGCCGGTTTGCCTCTAAACCGGTGCCTTTCACGCCAAAAAATAAAAATAAATGTTGCATTTTTTTCAAATAAATTAATACACAAAGACTTGTACATATAAAAACTTAGATATTTTCATTAATAAATTACTATAATGTTTTACACTTTAATAAAAAAAAATAACGAAAAAAAAATTACAATGGGAGCATAACCACAAGTGCAGGAGCCCTTGCCCCCTTCCCCTGCACCTAACCCCCTGGCCTCCCTACATCTGCCCCCCTCCCTACACTGCAATTCCTCCCTTCATTATCTAGTTTTATCACTATGATATTAAGAAGAAAAAAAAAAACAGAAAATATAAAAAGCGAATTAAATTGCAAACATAAGACTTGAATATACTTACTTCATCCTGATCAGCGGCGGACCTGCCTTTGTGCCTGGTGGGTCAAATGACTCACCAGGGCCCAAAAAAATTATTAAGTTTCTTAAAAAAAAAAAAAAAATAAATAAATTAGTTTGTTAATTATTGTGATTATTATTTTAGGTCAATTTTAAGCTTGTTAATTATAAGTTAATATTGTAATCTTGTCAATTTTCTATTTGGATGATCTTTGTAAATAATTTTTCTTAGGAATTTTGGTAAAAAAAATTTTTTACATATTTGGTTATCGATTGTGACTCACCAGTCGGAAATTCTTGGGTCCGCCACTGATCCTGATGAACCTTCTTTTCTTGAAATCTAAAATTATTATTATTCGAGAAACCCCCTGCTCCAATAAAATTTGTGGAACACTACGCCCCTCCCTTACCTGCAAACACAAAATGATGTTTACAAACCCATGTTAATTGATAATATTATTGTATTAATTTCTTTTCCATTAGTATCTTTTTCCTTAGGTTCTTTTAACTTGTCTAAGATGACAACTTTAGTCGTCACTGCATCATTCTTATTGTAACTAATTATGCTAGGAGAATTTGACTGTGAAAGAGGAATAAAAGTAGACAAAGATGGATCAAAATCAGAAGCACCGTCAGATATATCTCCTACATAAGTATCTATGTGATGTCTTGACCTAAAAGAAATCATAAAATTTACTCTTTTAACATTATCAGTTTGAACCAATGAATTAGCACTTTTTGGATTAATTTCAAGTTGGCTTGGGAGTGTTCCTTTCTCTGTATTTTGTGTTACTAGTTGACTTACAGTAGTAGCCTAAATTAAAATAGTCTTCTCTAATCTATTTAATTTTTTTCCTTTTTTTTTATCAGAATAGCTGGGGTGGAAGGCTGTGTTTGAAAATTTAGTTTAAATGCTGGCCTCGGGTTAATTGCATTGATAGCCTTGATTTTGGAACGTAGCTAGTTGAGGTAAAGTATCATTCTGAAAATGTCCAGTTTAGGGGGTCCTGTGTGTACGCCTTGACTCCAAAAAAAGGTAGGACGGTTACACCATTCAGGATTGTAAGTTTGACTAAAGGGATCATTTCTTGGTCTTTGAAACTCCAATTAACTTGCTCATTTCCTACATTATTAAAATTGAATTGCAGCACAACATATGGACAGACAGTTGAGATACGATCTAAGGCATGCGAACTGGGTAAGTTGAACTAGCATATGAAATGCAGAAAATGGAGCCACATGAAACTGAAGTACAAAATTGCAAAAACAAAAATATAGCAATTAGATTACAACTGAATTCAACTGCCACCATATTAATTGGGACAAATAAATCACCATCCAATGCATACATAATAACCCAAAACATAAGAGACAACGAATAATTATTTAATTGAATACCACCTTGGAATTTTAGAGAGGGAATTGAACTTCCGAGACTGTGAATTGTGGAATTACAATTTGAATCGTGGGATTTTGAATGATCGGATTCCCCACCGGCATCAAAAGATCATTCTGAAGCATACATCAAACCCTAATTTAAATCAAATTTGTGAAATGACAAAGGGAGTCTTACCTAAGCGAGCGTTGGCTGGGGACCATTCAAGAAAATTAATGCTTCAAACCGTGCATCCTTCTTTGCTCCATCGATCTTCATTTTTGTAACGAGAGGAGAGCGATGCGAACTGGGTAAGGTTTTTTTGGTGGAAAAACGTGAAAAAACTGAAACAGAAAAAGACTCGGAAATTGCACAGGGCAGCGATTTTTTTATTTTTTGTTTTTTTTGTGGTTTTATAAAAATTGGTACATTTAAAACTTTTTGTACAAGTACTAACATACTGAGCTTGGAAGGATCGCCAGCATACTACATACACGCCTAAACAAAAGGCTAATATACTCATTCCGTTCTACGTTATATTTCATGTTTTTCTATTTTGGAGATTTAAAATATAGTTCTTATTTCTATTTTTGGGTCGTACGTAAAAATCATTATACTCTTTTTTTTTTAACTTTATTAATTTTACTTTTTAAATTACCCTTGAATTTTTCACTTACCCTTGTATTTTTTTCCACTTTCTATCTCAATCTTTTGTATATAATTATACTTTTTAAAAGTATTTCATCCATTTTCTCCTTTCATCTCTTAAATACCGTAAAAAAACACAAACAGAAACTATAAACTAGTATGGATGGAATACAATTATTGGATGTTATGGCAAAAACAAAAGAAAAGAAAAAATAAAAGGCAAACATATCTTTTAGAAAATTTAATTGCTTATTAGAAATAGATAACATATTGTTTCAATAAAAAAAGAAATAGATAACATATATTCGACCTCTAATTTGTAAAGAGTATTATGTTTCATGTACTATCAATAAAAAGTAAAGAAAACCAAAGTTATGGATATTCGACCTCTAATTGTGATATAAGGTATTTTAATTGTTATGTTAAATAAGTATTATTAAATAAATTTGTCGTGTGCCTTTTTTAATGGCATAAGTAGATCTAGGCACGAAAATTTTTTCTTGGCAAAATTTGTGGCGTAAGTGGATTTTGCCACGAGAAAATAATTACGCGTGGCACAAGTGTAAAGTTTGCCACGGGAAAAGATATTTGTGGTATAAGTGTGATAGTTGCCACGGGAATATAATCACCAGTGGCATAAATTTTTCTTCTTATATAGGGTTTGCATTGTACTTTATTTTTCCCGTGGCTAAATGAAATTATGTCACAAATTAGGAATTCCCGTGGCATAATTTGTGGCACAAGGGATGATTGGTTGTAGTGAGTACTATACATTCTTACATATTACAGAGTAGTAATTAAACATGATCAAAGTTAGTATGAGAATAGTGATAAAAGCCACTAATGCAATTTTTATGAAAGCAAGGAAGTAAGTACCGTGAAACAAGAATTCATATAATTATGAAAATTTTCAAGAACGATCAAAGTGTTATTCGTAATTAATAGGCCTGAAACAGCAACATTCCACTTTTCCGATATACATTGTGAAGAAAGAGCTTCAATCTCCTCACTATTGTCAGTTTATATAAGACGATTGTGATTAGGGGATTTTGCTCCCACCAATCGGAATGCGCCACGTGGGCCAATCAGGTCCTGCCAAGTGTCCCCCAGTTGGAACTGTCAGGGCTTGCCACGTGGCACACGCTTATTCGTCCACCTTGGACATATTATGTCATGACACGTGACATACTCCATGCCTAATGGAGAAACCGGCCACCCAGGCCCAACTTTCGAGGGAAGCCCAATCAGCCCTAGGTTAACCTAAACCTAGGATTGGCACGTTTCCCAAGGTTATAAATACCTCCCTTAATCCTCATTAAGGGGGATTACACATTGATTACACACACGAATAACAGGCTGATCACGCTAACAAAGCAGATTACCTACATTAAACACTCTCACCTAGAGAGACCCAATCACTTTAATTTCCGCATTAATTACTCCTTAATCAAGTACTAACTTGACCGTTGGAGGCGGAGCTCCCACCACCAGGAGTCTCCGTTGTTTTGCAGGTACAGGCGTCCGGTTCCAGTCTCGGAATTGTAACTCTCCCGCAGGACATCAGAAAACCCCGAAACATTTGGCGCCGTCTGTGGGGAGAGTACTTCTGAGATGGCATCCAAGTCTGTACCGACTCCTGAAGAGAGGCGTCCCCTAGACGACCCTCAAGTTCAGTCGGACCACGATACTGAGAGTGAATTTGAAGTTGAAGCTCACACAGCTTTAGACGGGACCCTAAGGGCCCGACGTACCCGTCATACCGAAAGAAGGGAACGGGAACATCTTCAAACTGGAAGTGAGCCAGCAGGCGCACCGCCTGTTCGGCAGCAGCCGATTGATGGAGCTGCTCCCATCACAAGGAACGAACTCATGACCTTCATGAGGGACTTCAAGGGAGAAATTCAAGAGTTGATCAACAAGAAGCCGCCTGCTTTGGACAAGGAGCAGTCGGCTAAGAAACCCTCCTCTTCACAGAAGAGGAAGCCAGTTCAAGGGCGAGAGGCGACTCCTCATCCTAAATCTAGGAAGCGGGAGCCACCTGCCCTTGATTTCACAAAATACCGTTTTCCTACTCCAGGAAATAGGAAACCTGTTCGTCATATTCAGGCGGACGGGTCGAGGAAATCATACACAGACGCTCGGCTACTGCTAGAGCAGAAGAAGAGTGACCGATTGTCAGATTCGGCCTCTACTTCAAACTTCCAAGACAGTCTGCGAAATACCTCAATGAGGCATACGCAGTCGTATCATGAGAGTCAGTCAGGCGGCACCTCCCGTCAGTCCGGCTTTCATAGCGACCAGGCGGTACCACACTTACCGTTTGTGCCGCAACAACAATATTTTTTACAGCCACCTCCGTTTGGTGGACCTGCAGCAAAAAATGTCCAACCTATGGACTGGCAGCTACGGTTGCTTAGACTTGGTGAACAGTCGTCGACTTTCTCCAAGGAAATTACTGAAGCCGCTCAGCCGGCCAAAGTGAAAAATGTATTAGTAGGTTCCTATGACGGCACTACTAACCCAGAAGACCATCTTATGGCCTTCACCAACCTGATGTACCTTCAAGGGTTGGATGATCCCACTTGGTGCAAGTGTTTCCCATCGACTCTCAAAGGAATTGCACAACAATGGTTCGGCAACCTGCCGACTGGTTGTGTAAATAGCTTCAGGACGCTTGCTTACCTATTCACCTCCAACTTCGCCATGAACATCCCTGCAAAGAAGATGACCCTTGATTTAGGAACAATTCAGCAGGGCGAGAAGGAGGGGCTTCGTTCTTACATCAGGCGTTTTAACCTGATGAGAATACAGATTCAAGGGTTACCGGATGAGGTAGCCTATACTGACTTTTTCAGAGGTCTCAAAGACGGGTCGACCTTCAAATTTGATTTGGTCCGGAAGAGGGTGGCGACTCTTCAAGAGGCCTTGATTGAAGCGGAAGCCTATATACAGGCGACTGATCTTTGTACGGTAAAACAGTCGGACGGGAAAAGGTCTGACAAAAGAGAAGGACGACAGAAACAGTCGTCAAACAAGGATGAGAAGAGAAAAGAGGTCTGGGCGGCTGATTCCTCTAAACAGCCGGCCCAGAAAAAGAAAAAAGAATTCAAACCATACTCCCTAAAGTATGCGTTTAACAAGGATAACCAGTTTATCCTAAAAGAAATCAAGGGACGGATCTCAATTGAGAAGCCAGTCCCCATGAAGGGTTCTGCAAACAACCGGAACCAAGAAAAATTTTGTGCTTATCATGATGATGTTGGTCATCACACCAATGACTGCATCAGTCTCATGCGGTATCTGGACCGCCTGGCTGAGCAAGGTGATCTTGACAGTTATGTCAAGAAATCTACGGGGAACACTTCCTCAAAAAAGCAGTCGGCCAAAAAGAAACAACAGGCCGACAACTCCGATACAGATGATGCAGTCGTCTACACCATTGCAGGCGGCTTCTCAGGAGGCGGCCCCACTATTAGGGGCAACAAAGACAACATCAGACGGTTAGATGTAAATTCCGTTCACCAAGAACGGCCCTCCAAATATTCATTTCCTGAGATTGTCATCACTGAAGAAGATCTAGGAGGGGTAAGAGGGCCGCATGACGACCCTATCGTCATTGAATGTAAAGTGGCCAACCAAAGAGTTGGCCGAATTCTCATAGATACCGGAAGCTCCTCAGATCTCATCAGTAGAAAATGTTTGTCGAAACTAAAATATCAGACTAATTGCATACATCCGGCATCCCACCCTTTAGTAGGGTTTGGAGGAGGAGTCGTCCACCCACTGGGACGAGTGGATTTACCCATCCGCCTGGGCGAAAAAGGGGAAGGACGACACATGGTAGTCCGGTTCCTGGTAGTAGAAGAACTCTCGGCCTACAACATGATTCTGGGACGACCAACCCTGAATAATTCCAAGGCTGTTATAATCCCATCTCTTATGTTGCTCAAGTTTGAGAGGGATAATGGAACAGTCGGCTCCCTAAGGGGAGATTAGAGGATGGCCCGAGAGTGCTATCTCTCGGATGTCAAGCCCACTGTTATGGCCACTGGGTCAAGTGGTGAAAAAACAGACCTTGACAATGTCAAGGAGAGTGCGCCTGTTCAAGAAGCAGGCGGCAAGAAGAGAAAGGCATCCCAGACAGGGGCCGCAAGAAAAGAAAGAAAATAGCAATCATTGGCAGAGGAGCGGTCGGATGAGTTCCGCCCTCAGCCGGCTGGTGAGCATACGGACCTGATCTTAGACGACTCACGTCCTGATCGAACAGTCAAAGTTGGGACGACTGCTCTGAGAGACCTTGGTGACGACTTTCACAAACTATTGAAAGAATACAAGGACATCTTTGCATTCGAAGTCCATGAAATGCCAGGCATTAGTCCTGATCTGGCGGTACATAAACTGGCCGTGGATCCGAAAAAGAAGCCGGTACGGCAGAAGAAGCGGAACCATGGCGAAGAAAGAAGTCAGGCGGCAGCCGCCGAAGTTAAAAAATTACTTGATGCAGGGTTCATTCGGCAATGTTACTTCCCAGACTGGGTTGCAAATGTGGTGCTTGTTAAAAAGCCGAATGGCACCTGGCGAATGTGTGTAGACTACACAGACTTAAACAAGGCGTGCCCCAAAGACAGTTACCCTCTGCCTAAAATTGATAATCTGGTCGACTCAACAGCCGGCCATGCTTTGATGAGCTTTATGGACGCCTACTCTGGTTTCCATCAAATTCCTTTGTGGAAGAAAGATCAGGAGAAGACGGCCTTCGTCACTGATCAGGGTTTATACTGTTACACAGTCATGCCGTTTGGTCTTAAGAATGCCCCGGCTACCTTCCAGCGAATGATAAACACTGTGTTCTTTGATCAGATTGGGAGAAACGTCGAGGCATACATTGATGATATGATTGTCAAGACTAAACTTCAGAAAGATCATCTGTCGGACCTCCGAGAAACTTTCTCCACACTCAGGCGGCACCATGTCATGCTCAATCCCAAGAAATGTGTCTTTGGAGTTGAGTCTGGGAAATTTCTCGGATTCCTTATCAATCAGAGAAGAATAGAGGCGAACCCTGAGAAGGTGCAGGCGGTCATTGACATGCAGTCGCCTCGTACCATCCGAGAGGTTCAGAAGTTAACAGGTTGTCTGGCGGCCTTGGGAAGATTTCTAAGCCGATCAGGCGACAAATGCTTATACTTTTTCCAGGCAATTAAGAAAAAGGCAAGGTTTGAATGGGGGCCGGATGCCAAGGCCGCCTTCCAGAAATTGAAAGTTCACTTGCATTCCTTGCCGAGGCTGGTCAGCCCTTTGCCCAAAGAAGTACTCTACAT